ACCCCTTTCACTCAGCTCCAATTAAAATCAGGTTTATGTATGCGCTTAAACGCGAGGAAGAATTCAACGCGAAATTCGAAATTCCCTTTGAAAAAAAGGAGGAAATCGGGCCCGAAGTAACGAGGAAAAAGATAATTGTTTTGCAAATAACCTAGAAAAGCTATTTCACTTTCTGAAATTATAAGAATTATAAAAGCGCATAATCCAAGCAAGTAAGGAAGGGCTAAGTTCGGGTGTAACCGAACATTTTGTACTCTTCCAGCTTGCACGAATTAAATCCAGGGTATTTCCCTGTAAGGTGTACAAGGAGAGTACCAAAGCAAACAGGAATCCATAGCACCCTGGTGGCGCCATCTGTATGTCGACTGCTGCGTTAGAATCATGACATTTCATCGATTGGAAGTTGTTGCGTTTTAAGTGTCAATATGTTTGTGTTATCGGTGCGAAAGTGAGCTTTGAACAAAGAGCCAATATTAAATTTTGTTTTAAAATTGGGGAAACTTTTACGGAAACGCTTCAATTGATGAAATAAGTTTATGACGAAGATTGACTATCCTGTAGCAGAGTGAACGGGGTTTTTCAACGTTTTCAAAGTGGTTGTGAGGACATAAATGATGATCAACATGTGGGTCAATAAAAATCCGTGACCACCGGAAATTCCATCGAAAATGTGCATGAATTCATCAAAAATCAGCCGAAATCATCATTGAAATTCATGGAAATGGAATTGAACATCTTCAAAACATCAATTTATCGCATTTTGACCGAACATGTGGGCTTACAAAAGGTGTGTGCACGGTTTGTTCCGCACAAATTGACTGACGACCAAAAATTGCTCAAAATCCAACATCGAAGGACATCATTAAAGAGGTCAAAAATGGCCAAAAAGCATTTGCCCATGAAAGGACAGCATTATGCAGACGTAGAAGCCATTCAAGAGGTTATATTGAATAAAATAAATTGATTTTGCCGAAAAAGTTTTTAAAGTCTGTTTAATTTGGAAAGCTCCTTTTAAAACCTATCATAAATAGTAAATTTAGCTGTAGGTTCGAAAGTCCTAAAATTAGTTATATACCGGCTAGCCCGAACTTTATCTATTTTTGGCACAAAGATATACTGTTTTGAGTAAAATATGCTATTTTCATTGGGGTAACTCACATATTGGCCGATATATGCGGTACACAAATTCACTTTGAAGTTCGAAAATCTTTATATTCTATTAGGTATATGGGGGCTAAGGCAAGTATTGGTCCGATTCCTATATTTGACATACAGAAATGTCATTGGCAGAGAAGTACTCCAACTGATTTTCAATTATAAATCGATATTTTCGAACAAAAATCAACTTTAGACGCTGGGGTCCACATATTCGGAACCTAGGGGCTTGAGCAGTTTTTGTTGGATTTGAAAAATTTTTGGTCGTGAGTTTACATACACTAACGGCATTATTAGTGCAAAGTTTAATCTTCTTCTTCTTCTTAATTGGCGTAGAAACCGCTTACGCGATTATAGCTGAGTTAACAACAGCCCGCCAGCCGTTTCTTCTTTTCGCTACGTGACGCCAATTGTGTATTCCAAGCGTAGCCAAGTCCTTCTCCACCTGGTCTTTCCAACGGAGTGGAGGTCTTCCTCTTCCTCTGCTTCTCCCGGCGGGTACAGAGTCGAATACTTTCAGAGCTGGAGTGTTTTCGTCCATTCGGACAACATGAACTAGCCAGCGAAGCCGCTGTCTTTTAATTCGCAGGACTATGTCAATGTCGCCTTGTATCTCATCGTTCCATCGAATGCGAAAACTTGCTACGTCGACTCACCAGTTGTTGTCATCGTCCATGCCTCTTCAAAATATAGCAGGACAGGAATAATGAGTGACTCATAGAGTTTGGTTTTTGTTTGTAGAGAGAGGACTTTGCTTCTCAATTGCCTACTCAGCCCGAAGTAGCACCTGTTGGCAAAGGCTATTATGCGATGGATTTCCAGGCTGACATTGTTGGTGGTGTTTACTGTGTTTCCAAGATAGATGAAATTATCTACGACTTCACAGTTACGACTGTCAACAGTGACGTGAGAGCCTAGTCGCGAGTGCGATGACAGGAGATATTTCGTCTTGCCCTCGTTCACTGCCAGACTCATTTGTTTTGCTCCCTTGTCCATTCTGGAGAAAACAGAACTAACGGCGCGGGTGTCAAGGCCGATGATATCAATATCATCGGCATACGCCAGCAGCTGTACACTCTTATAGAAGATGGTACCTTCTCTATTTAGTTCTGCAGGTCGATTTATTTTCTCCAGAAGCATGTTGAAGATGTCGTACGATAGGGAATCGCTTTGTCTGAAACCTCGTTTGCTCGGAGAGGTCCTTCCCGATTCTGACGGAGCTTTTGGTGTTGCTCAACGTCAGTTTACACAGCCGTATTAGTTTTGCGGGGATACCAAATTCAGACATCGCGGCATAAAGGCAGCTCCTTTTTGTGCTGTCGAAAGCAGTTTTGAAATCGACGAAAAGGTGGTGAGTGTCGATTCTCCTTTCACGGGTCTTTTCCAAGATTTGGCGCATGGTGAATATCTAGTCGGTTGTTGATTTTCCAGGTTTGAAGCCGCTTTAATCTTTCACACAATACGCTCGATAGAACCTTATATGAAATGTTGAGGAGGCTGATCCCACGGTAGTTGGTGCAGATTGTGGGGTCTCTTTTTTTATGGATTGGGCATAGCACATTTAAATTCTAATCGTTGGGCATGCTTTCGTAAGACCATATATTGCAAAGAAGCTATTGCATGCTCCTTATCAGTTCTTCGCCGCCGTGTTTGAATAGCTCGGCCTTCAATCCATCGGCCCGGCCGCTTTGTTTAAAGTTTAATCCCGTTATATTAAGTGCTTATTAAATTGTGTACTGGGAAGTAAAAGAATAAAGTGGAATTCAAAATTGTGCTATACAGAAAAAGGGTGTGTGTCACATACGAATATGAAAATAATACCACGTATCTAATTTTGTAGAAATCGGTCAGTTGGATCCTGAGATTTGGGACTTTATCCAAAAGTATTCAGTGCCGCGTCTGTCGCCCAATTTCTACCCGTCCTCTATAAAACCTTGCCGTACCATCTTGACTGCAAATTTTTATGTTTCTGGCGCATTTAGTTATTGATTTATCGCACTTTTTTTTAGTTCTGAACGGTACCCTTATGTGGTGAGTGAGCTGGATTTTTATTCGTTTTCCCACTATGGGTAAGAACTCCTTCAATATTGACGTTGCCAAATTTGGTTTTTGTAGTTTTAATGCTTTAGGAGATATAGATCCCTGGCTTCTGCGCTCCCCTGTGCCGAATTACAGTTTTATATCTAAATTTAGTACTTAGTTAAGGCACTTTATATGTTTTCCGGATTTCAACCTTTGTCGTCATCCTGATAATTTATATACATATATACAACTCTATATCTATTTCGCTTAGCGTTAGATGATACGTACAACCGCTAGGTGAACATAATTATAATACTCTGTAGCAACTGGTTGCAGGAGACTAAAAAGTTACTAGGACGCCAAACTACCAAACTACCTGGACTACCAAATATTGCTGTAGAGGTGCTCTATTTGCTCTTCAATGCAATTCTTATTTTCGGATAATATCCAATTTCATGGAAAGGACTTAACATAGCGCCTTCATACAGACCAATCAGTCGTTTACCCTATATTTCTAAAATATTTGAAAAAGTGACACTATCAAAGATGTCTTCTGAACTTCAAGAAAATAAAATAGTATTAACGCACCAATTATAATAACTAATGAAATGAGAAAAGCATTTGAGCACAAAGAGTACTGTTCAGTTAAATTTTTAAGGTCCGTATCCAGCTTTTAAGTATTTGCTCAAGAAAAAAAAAACATTATTTCTTGAGCTGTAGCCAAGTAATTTTAACATCTGGTGATGCATTCCACATTAGAAAAACAAGAGAAAATAAACAAAGAAAATATATGTGTGTAAGTACTTATATAAATATTTTCATTGCAATTTAAGGAATGTGGATGAATATTGGTAGGTTTTCTACAAAACATTTCAAAATGAACTATACTTCATAGCAATGATTTTAACTAATTTGTGGTATGAAGGCTTTGTATATAAGGTTTAGAATAAGCTACTATTAACTATATTGCCTTTACTTATGTATGTTATTCCCTTTTTTTTTTKCAATAAAACAGCTATTTTAATCTTTTTAAACACTTTTTTCGTAAACGTAAACGCCTACTGAATAAACCCTTTCATGGCTTACAATAGACCAATTCACTGTAATTCCATGTTCAGACCGAAATGTAAAAGATTAGTTTACATTTAAGCATTTCGCAACACAACAGTGTTCTTACTGCCGTTGGAAAGATTAAAAAACAGCTGTTTTTGCCATTCAAGAATTCACATCGCCCAAAATGTATGAAAATAAAACATTGTCACATAGTCTTTTGTAACAAAAGCCGTATTCTTTGAAATATTTTCCACATTGTGGAAATAATGGACTCATTTTTTCATTTGCGAAGTCGATTTTCAGATGAAATTAAATTTATTGCTCTAAAAAAATTTGTTTGTTTACATTTTTTCTCTTTGTAGTGTCTAAATCAGCTGTGATAATGTAATAGATTTTCAATGCTTCAGAGAGATTTAACGTGGATCAGTTTCAAATCACTCGGATGAAGCGATTTTGAACTGTCATTTCTGTATGGCGAAATCTTTATAAATTTATAAGATTAGTGGGATAAACCAGCAGCCGAAATCGTGTGATTAAGTGTCTGTCTGAACATGGTATAAGCTTACACAATACACCAGACTACACAATGCAAAAAGACGCGCGTCAAAAAAAATTGCTGTAACGAGACTTAGAAGCATATACGCAAATGTTGCCTTTAGGCTACTACAATAAATAAAAAGAAGACCGATAACATTTTAAAATTATTACAAAAAATAAATCAAACGAGGTCGTCAATGTTTCCAATTTTCATATATATATGTAATACTTACATTACACATTGTTGGGGAACACGCATTGGTATTTTAGCGTATTGGCATATTTCAATATAAGCTAATGCTGCAGTACACGGGCCCTTAAGATATGGATTTTTAGGATTTTTCCGATTCATAATACCCAATTCCATGCAAATATTTAGAAAAGGCGCTACATCCATGACGATTGAGCAATGGTTTAAAGGTGAGAATAGTTGGTTGCATATTTCGACGAATTCAGTAATTGAACCATTTGTCTGTTCCATGGTGCTATTGCAGCAGTTTATGATCCAGGCTTCAGAAAAAACAGCATCAGATTTTTCAATTATGTTGGAGGGAGTAATAAAGTCATCAAATGGTTCATTGTTCATTGTGCCTAGTAACCCAGCAGTTTGGCCAAAATAGCGTCCACTAAGTTCCAGCCAACACAAACTGAACTTCATATTGCACGCAACTTTAAATCCCACTTCACATTTTATTTTCAGTATATCTGAGTCTCTGTATACGATCAAATCTTCGACTATAATAGGCAGCATAGGATTCGTAATGCCATCAACTGTTATGGTCTACCAAAAAAAAAAAAAAAAGAAATGTAAAGGAAAAGATCATACTCGTAAATATATACGTGCATTTTTATATGTAGGAAATAATTTAACGTGGCTAAGACGGCTTCATTTAAATGCGCGCGCAAATCAAATCGATAAAAAGAAATTTCCAGATAGGAAAACTTTTTTGTAGAGGTAATACACTCGTATGAACTCCATATGTGAATTAGCGGTTTTTACTTACATCGGTTTTTGGATCAATTTCAAATGAATGACCTCTAGTAATAAGATTTATTTTAGCCAGGGGGCTTTCATAACTGTGCTGTGAAATATTCTAAAAAAATATTTATTAGTTAATGTAAAATGTTCGTTTTTTTTAAGTGAAAATACCGTCAAATCAATGGTAAGAGTGAACGTATTGTTCCAAAAATCATGTGATAAAATATAGGTGCAATTGCTGAATTGATGGACTTTCTTTTTTAGATCGACAAAACGTTTGTCATGTGTGATGAGGAACATTGAGTCTATCAAGTATGCACGCGCTGTAAAGAGAAAAAGAAAAGGGAAATAGAGTAGCACTTTGCGGCATATTCACTCCACAATAGACAAAAGTTAAAGTATAAGTTTTGATGTACAATAGGATGGGTAAAATTTAACCTTAAAATGCAAATTTAAATCAACTTCTGCAACTTAACTTTAAGTTAAGAATTACCTTTATTGAACTCAGAATTAACTTCTTGTACTTTAAAATTAACTTCGGAATTAAACTAAATTAAATTAGATTTTAACTTCAGAATTAATTCATTAATTTTAGAATTAAATTCAACATATATTAACCTTTTTTATTGGGTATATGCATATTAAAATGGTTGATATACACCTCTAAACAATTTTTTTTATTACCAGATAAAATTTTCATCTCCCTTCCAACTACTTGGAAAAATATTTAGTTTTGTGGATTTTGTATTAAATTCAATGTTCTTCAAAACAGGTTCCTAAGATCTTTTGTATACTATTTAAAAGATAATAACGGTTAAAATTTGATTGTTTTAAAGAAACAATTTGTTCCTAAGAATTTTAAAGCAACGAAAAAAAATTGTTAGAAGTCGGAAAACTCCTACAAAAGAATTACGAGTTCGGGGATGGGCGTAATAGGACGCTCATAAATCGCCATTAATTTAATATAATTAATTTTTTGAAAAAGTGTATGTGGCCTTGCTATCTAATAAATTTAATCTTATCTCTTAAACAACTCAAGCTACAACAAACAAATTTTCTGATTTCAAATCATACCAAAACTTCTGCCGACAATGAAAGAAATCGAAGGATAAACCCGCTCACTAGCCATATAAAAGTACGGTTAAAAGCTACTAAAATCAATCAGATAAATCAATAACTAAATTCACCAGAGGTATTTCACGTTACATTCTTCAAGCATTTTTCTTTCACTCTGTCAAATTTTACGAGGATGGAGTTCTCAGATTGCCATTCTCTTGGGATTGGTCCAACCATATTTAAGATAAAAAGATAACATACACATATTATTGTAGCCCATTCCCAATTTCGACGAATAAAGGTTGCGTTTTAGCTCAACACTTTTAGTTTGTATTCTTTGTTAAGTACAGCCGAGTTAACAACAGCGCGTCGCGTATTGCGTCGAATACTTTCAGAGCTGGAGTGTTTTCGTCCTAACGTACGATATGACCTAGCCAGCGTAGCCATTGTCTCTTAACTCGATAAACTACGGCAATGTCGTCGTATACCACATACAGCTCATCATGGCACCGAATGCGATATTCGCCGTGGCCAAAGTGCAAAAGACCATAAATCTTTCGCAGAAATCTTTCGAAAACTCGTAACAACCACTCATCAGAGTCTATGCCCCTGCAAAATATAACAGGACAGGAATAATGAATGACTCAAAGAGTTTTGTTTTTATTCGTCGAAGGCGGTTTTTACATTTCAACAGCCTACTCAGTGCTGTTGGCAATATTTATTCTGGGTTGGGTTTCGAAGCTAACTTTGTTGTTAACGCTGCTTCCAAGGTAGACAAAATTATCTACTCCTTCGAAATATGACTGTCAACAGTGACGTGGGAGTTTTGTCGCGAGTGTGACGACCCTAACAAGGGTTTTGATTCGTAGTGTTACCTTGACATTCATATATTCCAGCGCAAAAATAAATAAAGTCGGACTACACCACGTCTACTTTCCTATAACCGAAATCACCTGAATCATTCACTTCCCAAAATACAAATTAAAACGATAATAAATGTATTGAGATAAAACTTTGCCTAATAATGCGCTTAAAGTAGGTCACTTTAAACGAGAGAGGGCAAAAGTCCTACCTAAAAAGGACTTAACGGTATACTATAAGGCAATTCAGAATCGTGTGCATCTGAGTTTGCAAAATTGTGCAATTGCAAATATTTACCATCAACAATGAACGTCTTTTTTGTGGTTTCTGTGCAACTCTTTCAAAGACCATAATTCAGAGCGCTTCGGTGAAGAAAAACATCGGTTGCAAACAAAAATTTCGCACAAATTGGAAAATATGCCGAAAAAGTTCTTAAGGAAAATTTAACTGACGCTTTATTTGATGAAGCTGCTGAAGAAATTAGGGACATCAAAGATATGAAATATTTTTATGCGGCACATAGCACAAATATCAAAAAAATCTTTGTTTACAATGTTTTTATTTTTAATAGCAGTTGATAATTTGCGAACCAGTGTTGCCAATAATACAATGGCGTTTTAGTGTTGCTCATTTGCAAGGGTGTAGCGGGTGCATCGCTATACATTTTGTTAATGTAAAAGCAAAAATATCCTCGCTAATTTGCAATTGTAAAGATGCAAGACCATTTGCACCAGATTCTGAATTGCCCTTATGTGATATGAATATTACAGGTACTGAAATACTTACAGTAATTTGGTTGCAGCCATGTTTTTGCATCCATATACGATCGCAAGTTGTAGATGTGTCCTAATATTGACATGTTCGTAGTTAACATGTTTCGCATTTGTGATATAAATTGATATTCGGGTATTTCTTTGAATTTTGGTGTTTCATTAAATGCGTGCCACGATATTGACAACTTTTGTTCGAAATCAAGTACACCGTTTTCTGGATCGAATACGAATTTAGTTTTTGCTTCGCGATACATGTTCGCTAAGTCCAAAGCATTAGACGAGCAGGTGCGCAGTTTGTTACGAAGCAGAATGTATAAGTGATGCAAATGTTCCTTTAGTTTTATTTCTTCAGCAAACAGTTCTACTTCAGAAGATATCTTCCTAAATTTATTAATCACAACCTGCACCTGCTTTACTTTTTCCAGCTCTTTCATTTCATCGCAGATTTCGAGAATTACTTCATTTAGTTCTGATCCAAAGGGGATAAGTTTGTGATATTTCTCCTTTATTATTTTCCAAGCAATAGTAGCATATTTTTTTATATTTACAATAGCATCATGTGCTTTTACATCCTTATACAAATTTTCTAAGTCTTCTGTAAAACTGGAAACTTGATTAAAATATGTTGATTCTGTCAATTCATTCGTCCTCTCATTGATGTAACTAAATATCTCTTTACTAAAATCCCACGCAATTTTTTCCAAGTAACTAATTGCTTTGAATATGTGAGGTTCAAGTCGCGTTAAAAMTCCTCTTACATACGTTGAAATTATGTTAGAGAATTTGCTCCATATAGCTTCTACATGGTGTATAAAAGATATATGAATTTCCTTGACAAATTTTTCATACCTTTCAAACCCTTTCTCCATGAAATCGGTTAAATATTTCAGTGGTTGCCCATGGAAGAATGTGTTAAAGGCTTCTATATAATTATCGTATATAATTTTAAGCTTGTCTATTAACTGAGTGATGCTTTTTCGCAAAGCTTTACCAGATTCACCTAAAATTTGCCTTATTTCGCTAAATATAGCCGGTAAAGAGTCCATATGTTCCCGAAAGGATATTTCGTCAAGTATAATAAGTGAGAAGTTAACAAGGGATCTTATATAAAATTCATTTGCTTCATAGGACTTGTTTAAATAAATTCGTAAATCTTCCAGGTCTTCTCCTAAAACACTAAAAGTGCTAAAGTCCTCAATGAAATCTTTATTGTACTCTTTTGTTGTTTTCCAAACAACTGAAACTGCAGATACTGATTCTATGTAAATTCCCTTTGTCCAAAAGTCAATGCTTTCAGTAACTGAATTTACTACAGCTTCTTTAATGATATATATTTTGTTTTTAAGTTCTTTTTTTATTTGAGGACGCCAATGCAAGCACCCACTTATTTGACGTGAATGGTTTAATTTTATATAGGATGTTACATCAACAATACTTAGATCTTCGTAATTACGCCATATATTAACGTAAACGTGACGTGAGTTTTGAATATTGCCAAACATATGGAGATTTTGACTTCCATCTTCAGTTAAATTAAAATACATCTTTGTATACTTATCCAAAATATTTACATAAATAAATCCAGATGTATATTCATCTGGCGTATTCAACAATGTAGCGTTCAGTCCATAAGTCGGATAATTCAAATACGGTTGGAACCATACACGTACCGTCGTATATGGAGATTTTCTCTAGAAAAAATTAATTAAATTTTTTATACTATATTAAACATATAAATAAATTATATAATATTTAAAATCAAGTAGCATAAAAAACTCGCAAATCACATCTTATGTTGTATACTTAAAAAATGGGAAAACTGACTTTTGCATTATTTACTACAATGTTTCAATATTATTTGTGTACAAAATATAATACGTATATAAAAAAAAACAGTAAAATAATTTATTATAACATACTAATTTCCTCATCATTAGAATAATGCAAACTTAGTATCCTAAATACATACTTTAAAGTAAACCATTCTGTAAGCTAAATAAAATATTATTGATGTGTATCGCACTCTAACCAATATTTATCGTTTAAAGTTAAACATAGATAACACAATAAAAAAACTATAACTTCGGTTGCTCCTTTATTAAAATACCCAATACAAATAAAGAAGTTTCCATAGAAGTACTTAATTTTGGACGTTCAGTTTGTATAGCTGCTATATAATTCAGTGTTCCGATCTGAAAAAGTATGCTGCCAATAATCTATTTTGAATTTCGTGAAGATGTTAAGTGAATAATAAAAATAAGTAAAATAATCGGCAGAGCGATATCTCTAAAACTAATGCACTAGTTTGTTTAAAGATAGAGGGCGGAGTGGGGTGTAGAAGTTTGTACAAGTAAATCAAGTTCTCTGAGCGCCATTCACTTGGGAATGGCCTGAAACGATTCTTTAACATATAGCAGCTCACGACTTCCAGTCTTAGACGAAGTAGCCTCTAGGTAGACAAAGAACATATGTCTGAAGGCGAGGGTTTTACGCAAGGTTTAGGATCCGCCATATAAAATAGCACTAATTCGGTGTTGGATTTTTGGTAAGAGAGAGACTCCGAGTGCTAGCACTCACCGCAGAGGAAGAACGTCTAGCCACAATCGGCATCACAGCGAAGATCTTCAATAAATCTTTGATTTACGCCCACGTCCTGACAGAAAAGAAGGACGAAGTGACGAAAGATGTCGTCTATGAGTGCTTGAATCGTACATATGTCCAAATCGCGCTTAACGCCTGGGTGGGCAAAACAGGACAGCATTTCATTCTCCTTACGTGCAGACTTAGTGCGAAGAAATAGCCTACATTCTTCGTAAGAAAAGATCATAACAAGATGTCCTGTTCTACGAAAAGATCCGGCAACTAACTGAATGTTTCAAGACTGTAGCATACTCTTGTACAACCTCCAGAAGTGATCTCGTAGAATGCTTAATGGCAGTGAAAGCATAACACCAGGAGATTGTGAACCCGATTTCTCAATTGTCGACAATGAAATAGRGAGGATAGACATACACCTCTTCGTCGATTTTAAAGCTGCTTGTGACAACACGAAAAGTAGCTGCCTTTATGCCGCTATGAATTTTTTATCCCCGCAAAACTAATATGGCTATGTAAACTGACGTTGTGTGAAACCAAAAGCTCTATTTCATTTCTCTTTCTTTCAAACGAGGCGACTCCCTTCTATACGCTTTCCTTATACCCCTGGAGAATATTGTTCGAGGAGCAGATGTGAATAGAAGAGGTCCCAGCCTTTACAAGAGGCTATAAAGAAGTTTGTTTAATTTATGCCGAATTTCGTGAAGATATCTTGTGAAATAAAAAATATTATAATAAAATGGGGAAATAGATCTGAGACAACGCTGAGGAGTATTGAAGTTAATTTTCCCTAATAAATAGTGACAGTCAACACTACCATTAATTACATTGAAAAAAAATGAAAGGCAGAGAACGGACCGATGATTATCCAGTGATTTAAGATGTAAAAGAAATAAACGAGATGTATACGATGGTATTCGTTTTCCGGTCGACAAACTTTAGGGAGCGGAAAGCAAATTTAAGAAATCTTTTGAACACGCTCGATCCTATTAATTGACGATATGCAATATGGTCTCCAAATGAACACTGCGTACTCCAAAATGGACCGAACTAAACATGTATACAGTAATTTTAACGTGAAGGGGTTGGAAAAATTTAAAGCATTTCGACGGACAAAGCCGAACACAGAGAATGATTTAGAAGTGATATAGTCGAAGTGGTTATCGAAAGAAAATCTGTTGTCAAAGATTACCCCAAGATCTTGTAGATAAGATGTTACGTTCCCTACCATAAGAGATCTGAGAGCATTTATCTAGATTAAGAAAAAGCTTCGATTTCAGGCACCAATCATAAAAAGTATCAATATCACATTGAAGTTTGAATACATCTTGTGAGTTTTTGATTATTACAAAAATTCTTAAGTCATCTGCATATAATAGAAAGTTAGCGAAAGAGAAGCAACAGGAAATGTCATTGATAAACAGCACAAAGAGAAGCGGACCCAAGATGTTTCCTTGTGGCACTCCCGAAGACGCAATGAATGAATCAGATGACACTCCATCGGCACTGACAACGCATCGTCTATTGTGCAGATATGATTCAATCCACTGCAAGAAGACCGAAAGAAACCATAAAAAAGATAGTTTCTTAATTAGAATATTGTGTGAAACTTTTTATCAAAGGCCTTAGAGAAATCTGTGTAGACACAATCTAAATGAAATCCAGCGGAGAATGCAGACGTACAATAATCGCTAGAAACCGCTAAGTTTGAAACAGTGGAGCGCGCGGAGACAAACCCATGCTGATTGACATTTATTATTGATTTTACTGCAAAAACTAATTTATTTTTAACAGAACACTCAAAAATTTTCGAAGCTGTAGAAAGTTTAGAGAGAGGCCTGTAATTGGAGACTACATTTTTTCTACCACCTTTAAGAATAGGGGTAATGCATGTCAATTTCCAGTCAGAAATAAATAGAGAGATATAGATAAACAGAGAGACTTATTGAAGATGAGCATGAGAGGATATACTAAGGCAGTACAATTTTTTATAACTACGGGTGGAAGCCCATCCAAGTCCAATTTGGAGGAAGACTTAATATCACAAATAGTCTTGGAATATCATCCTGTGAAAGACGCAGTGTGCCACAATTTATGGAAAAAAGTGGGACTATTACCAGGATCGTCGTGGGTATAAATCGATTTGAAAAATTCAGCAAACAAGTTGGAGATTTCGCCAGGGGTGCATGCTGAACCGATTCCGAGATTCCGTACTATTAATAAACCTTTTATAGAGAAACTTATCCAATTCATTAAACAGTTTAGTGTAGTGCTGATATTGAACAAAAGAAACATGAGATTTAGTTGAAGAGAATTTTCTATAGTATTTATTTCTAAGATTTTTTAAACGTTTGAGGTCCTTAGTGTACCAAGGCAACTTATATGGTTGTATATGTTTGAGCAGGATATTATAATGACAAAATTCATGAATTGATTTCTTAAAAATCGCGAAACTATTAGCTGTATCTAGTCCCGAAAGTAAATCATCCCATTTAATCTCATCGAGCAGATTATTGAGTCGTTCAAAATCACAATATGCAAAATTAAAACCAGGCCCATCAATAGGTTTAACAGGAGCGAAAAGATGAGTATCCACCTCTAATGCTAGCGGATAATGATGAATGGTGGCTGGAGTAATTGAAGAGAATCCATCGAGAAACCTAAATTTTAAATTATCACTGAGAAACATTAAGTCTAGAAACCGATCCAGACTATTTGAATATGAGTTAATTTGAATCAGATTGAGACTAAGCAAGCTATCGATGAGAAATAACTCCTGAGAAGATGATAAATAGGATTGAATAAGAGCAGGACTATAGGAACAACCAGACCAGACGATATTGCTTAAATTAAAGTCACCCAGAACACAGATATTATTCTTTTTCACCCTATTTAATACCAGCGAGGAAATATTATTTGCGTGCAACTTATAGAACTCTAGAGGACTATTAGGAAGGATGTATGAGACTGCAATGAACAGAGCGTCATTGATACAAATACATAGTTTGTCCAGAATAGAATCATCATTATCAAGCCTAATTAAACGAGGACGATATTTGCGATGAACTGCTAGGAGAACACCACCCCCTCTTAAACAATCAGTTTTTTCATGATCTCTGAACGGAAGACATAGTAGAGATTTGAGTTAAAATATTCACTATCAAAGTAACTAGAGTTCAGCCAAATCGCAGCAATAACGATAATATCAAAGTTCAAATGTGAAAAAAAGTTGCGAATGATATTTGATTTACACCTAATACCCGATAAATTTTGGTAGTACACCGTAAGACAAGAGCCAGTTGAGGAATGTGCAGAAAACTCACGTGTAAAATCTTCATTAAAAGGCGCATCATCTAATCTACAGCACTGTTTTCCCTTCCCTTTGGAAAAAAAGCTTGAAATCGAGTTGTTACGGCAGTAATGAGACTCCACTCGTGGAAATCTATCAATATGGCTTTCCACTTGAAGAGTTATAAATCGATCTCTTTGGATGTAATTTTGACGACGACCTCCTCGTTTATCTTTGTCTACAACTCCTGTTGAGGTAATTTTAGACATCGCTGTACTGACTACTTGTTCGGAAACTGCTAGTGTATTTAAGAAAAAAACTGGCAAACTTGTTTACGTACGCCATTTAATGGAAGGTAATATTTCTGACTATTTTTTCTTCTTGTGAGCGGACCAGCTGTCTTACGTTTTTGTTGAATTTTTTTTTCAATATACCGTACAATATATTCCTTTTGGAATTGCAATGATCCCAACAAGTACCTAACCAACATTTTTGGGCTCCGTGAATTTTTTAATGTAATCTGAGGAAAATCCCTCTCTTAAGTGCTCCCCGCTTAATTACCCGACCCTCCTAAGTACCTAAATTTTTCGTACCACAACTACCATGTTACTTGTAATTATCCCCGCTTAAGTGCGCTTTAAAATTTCTTAAAATATTTCCAAATTTTGAAGTTCAGTGCCAGCACTATACAATCGATTCTTAATTCCACGTGCACCGCTAGTTGTTAAAATGAATTATATCTAAAAACTTCCGAAATGCCTGGCAAAGGGCGAAAAATCACAAGTTTATCAATTAAACAAAAAATAC